CCGGCCAGTTATACACTTTTTATCATTCTCTTCTTTGTAGAGATTACCACATACATCCTTGACTTATCAAAGTCCTAATATAAATTAGTACCTTTACCTCTTCCTGGACAATACAAGAACCAGGATGAACTTCAACTCCATTTACGCCATCCCAGTATGTATTCTATTTCAGTTCTCTGTTTTAATTATATATGTATTTTTAAACCCTCAAAATATTATTATTATTTTGTCAAAGTTCATTTAGATAAGATTTTTCATCCTCATCACTATTAACATTTTGCACCAGAGGCCAGGCACGGTGGCTCACACCTGTAATCCCAGGACTTTGGGAGGCCGAGGTGGGTGGATCACAAGGTCAAGAGATCGAGACCATCCTGGCTAACATGTGAAACCCTGTCTCTACTAAAAATACAAAAAATTAACTGGGTGTGGTGGCGGGTGCGTGTAGTCCCAGCTACTCAGGTGGCTGAGGTAGGAGAATTGCTTGAACCCGAGAGGCGGAGGTTGCAGCAAGCTGAGATCGTGCCTCTGCACTCCAGCCTGGGTGACAGAGCGAGACTCAGTCTCAGAAAAAAAAGAAAAAAAAAAGAAAAAAAAAAATTTTGCGCCAGATAATTTTTTGTGTGTGTGTGTGGGGAGCTGCCCTGTATATTATAAGCTATTGCTCAGCAATCCGTGGCCTCTGCCCACTAGTTACCATTAGTACCTTCCTCCTAGTTGTGACAACCAAAAATATTTCCAGGCATTACCAAATGTAACCTGCGCCTCAGTTGAGAATCACGTGTTTAGATTTACCTAAACATTTATCATTTGATTTTCCTTCGTTCCTTCCTAATCTCCATTCTTCTATTAGGATTATTTTCTTATTGACTGAAGAACACCTTCTAATAATTCGTTTTGTGCACATGTGTTGATCAGTTCTTTTTGTTTACCTGAAAGGATGTATTTGTTAGATACACATTCTGGGTTGACAAGTGTTTTCTTTCAGCATTTTGAAGATACAGTTGATTTTCACCCCCCACACTTTCATTTGCTTCCTAGCTTCCAGTATTTTATTGTTGCCTTCTTCCCACCTACTTTTCTTTTTCTTTTTTTATTTAATTTAATTTAATTTTTATTTATTTTATTTTATTTTTTTGAGATGAGGTCTCACTAAACAGGCTGACCTTGAACTCCTTAGGCTAAAGCGATCCACCTGGCTCAGTCTTTCGAGTGGCGTGAATTACCACACCCGGCTTGAAGATGCAATTTCTATGTCTTCTTTTTCCCATTGTTTCTTTTGAGAAATCATCTCTCCATCTAATTTTTTCACCTTTAAAAGTAATTTTTTTTTTTTACTCTCGCTGTTTTTAAGATATTCTCATTGTCTTTGGTTTTCAGCTGTTTCACTCTGTGTACAAAGATAGAATTTTCTTGCTTTTAGCCTATTTGGCACTTCTTGAATTTGTGGCCTGATGTTGTTCATCACATTTGGAAACTTCTCAGCCCTTAACTGTATAAATAGTACATTCTCTTTTCCCTTTTTTCATTCTTTCTATAACTACAGGTACTTTGTTATTAGCTTCCTCGTTGTCTTTAATGTCACTTTCCCCCCATTTGTATTTTTTGTTTTTCTATCACTTCAGTGATTCATCCTGGTTATTCTCTGATCTTCCAGTTCATTGATACTCTCTTCATGTGTGATTTATCTGCTATTAAACCTATCCATTGACTTCCTTGTTCTTTTATTGTATTTTCTAGTTTTCAAGTTTTCAGTATGTTCTTTTTATTTCCAATTCTTCGTTAAAAATTTTAATCTCATCTTTTATTTTTTTAAACATATTAAAAATATTTGTTTTGAAGTCTGTGTCTGAAGACTAGGTTTTCCGGATCCTCTATGTGTCTATTTCAGTTGTCTCTTATTTCTTTAGGTTTTTAGCCATGTTTTGTGTCTTCATATACCTGATGACCTTTGATGGAGTGCCGAATATTGTATATGAAAATACTTGAGGATTTGCATCTGTTTCAGGCATAAGGTTAAGTACATTATGAATCAAATATTGAGTGATTTGAAGCTGGGCTTCACCATATCCAATTAATAATTATGCTTTGGGCTGGGTGCAGTGGCTCACGCCTGTAATCCCAGCACTTTGGGAGGCCAAGGCGGGCAGATCACAAGGTCAGGAGTTCGAGACCAGCCTAGCCAATATGGTGAAACCCCGTCTCTATTGAAAATACAAAAAAAAATTAGCTGGGCATAGTGGCACGTGCCTGTAGTCCCAGACACTCAGGAGGCTGAGGCAGGAGAATCACTTGAACCTGGGAGGTAGAGGTTGCAGTGAGCCGAGATCACACCACTGCACTCCAGCCTGGGTGATAGAGCGAGACTCCGTCTCTCTCTCTCTCTCACTCTATATATATATATATATATATGCTTTGGGTCCACTTAACTTTTCCTACCATCCCCCACTGCTTGTTTGCCTCCATTTTGTTTGTTTCTCTCTGTCCTCCTGAGGCTATTTTAAAGGTCTACTAATCTTCTCAACCACCTCTTCTGGAATCCAGATGCTTCTAGAAGAAAAACTGTTCTAAACCTCTCTGGGTTTCAGTCCTATCCCAAATATTGACCCTGTTGTTTTTCTCACCCTTTCTGGTTATTCTCAGCAGGTCTAATGATCTGACTTGCCTTGTCTGCCATTATCAGAAGGAGAAGCTCCCTCAGATTCCTTTTATTTCTTGCAGAAATATATCCACTTTTTCTCAGAGAATGTTGTAAGTTGTAAAATTTTGTGCTCTTATTAAAGATCGGAAAATATCGTTGTTTAATTGGAAACAGAATTATGGTTTCAAAATCATTCTAATCATTTTTCTTTAATACCTTGTAGATATTTGTCCATTATTTTCTTATATTTAGTGTTGCTGAGGAGAAATTTGACTTGAATCTGATTCTCATCCCTTTGTAAGAAATTTTTTTTTCTTTCTATAGAAATTTTTTTCAAATTTTCAACATATCTTTGATATTTGGAAGTTTTACCTTGCTAAAAGAATGGAATGTACCTTGGTATAGGTTGTTATTGTTGTTAAATGTATCCTTCTTGGGATCTTTTAAACCAAAAACTTCTTTCTTTCCTATACAAGCTGTCTTCAACTCTGTTTTCTCTCATGACTGTTCAAGGGTACATTTTCCCTCTTTAAATTCATTCCCATCTTCTCTTTGTCTGTGAAGGACTCCTCAGAGTGTCTGTCCCACCAGGGGCTGCCCATTTTACTTCCTAGTGTAGCTGTATATTCGTGTATTTATTTGTTTGTAATATATCTTGTATTATTTCAAGGGATTTGGTGAGAGGGGAAGAGGGCACAAGGTCAGCTCAGTCTCCCCTCTTGAATCTCAGTAGTTGTTTTTATAACTTCATCTGCCAGAATCATCTTCCTCTAGTCAGGTTTCACTTAGTTAGTTCATAGTCTGACTTTTGCCACATCACCTTTGTTCAACAAATGGCAGTCTCTAAAGTATCTTCATGTCAGCATATAACCTTTCTTCAGTATATATATACATTAATTGCTGCAGTCATTTGAAAACCATTACTATAGGTCATTGAAATGACCTGTATTTCATAGGTCATTGAAATGACCTGTATTTCATAGGTCATTTGAACAACTTTTTGCAATCTACTTTAGTTTTAGAAAAATTAACGTGCAGCATGTAAAGAAGGACCAAATCCATTAGCTGATTGGCACCTGAAATCATAAAAGTCAATTCAGAGAGCAAAGTAGTATGTTGGAAGGGAATAACAACAGCAGCAGGGGAAAGCAATATGAAAACCTGAACTGAGAGGCAAAGTGAAACTAGAATTTGCTGAGTGGCTGGGCCTGTGGGCTCCGATGGATATCATAAGTGCTCTGCAATGCATGAAATGTATACATTTAAATTTTCTTGCTTTAACAATCATATGTGCAGACCCTCCCTCCTGTTGTGAGGAGTCAGGGCCTAGACCTCAGGGCTCCAGAGTTAAACTCTCATGAGGGTCTCAGGCATCCTGTTGTCCTGAAGCCTCCTGAAAGCACTCACTTATGGGGCATTGCCTGATTGAGTGCTTAGGAGTGAATGTGCCAGCTGCAGCCAGACTGAGCACACCCTTCTCTCCCAGTATCCTCATTCTGGAAACTACCTCTCTTTCTTTTTTCCCCCCAAACTGACTCACTTTTACTTACCCAGAAATCTAAGTAGATACATACAGAAATAAATTTACAGAGCTATTTTAATTTTGACAAAATCAGTATCTAAACAGTTTCACTACAGTGTTTAAATACATTTTAGGAAATGGTCTCTCAATACTAATTTTACTATTAATGGTTAGGCCTTCGTTATTTTCATTGATATGATATACAGAATTTTACTTTGCACTTAATATTTGCTTTCATAAACAACTTCGTAATTGAGTGTATGCCTCCTAGAGGTAAATTTTCTGGGATTCCAATCATAGTATCATTTTTATCAAGTAATTTTTTTCCTTCTAGCACTTACTGTGTTTATCCCAACATTAAATATTATTTATAAACCTTGATTAACTTATTTTTCTTCATTTAAAATTTTTCACCAATTGTCTTAAGTAAACTTTAAAAATATTAATTTAGAATTTTAAAATTCTACATGAAGTCATGAGATGTCTATTATCTCTTTTCACTTCAACAGGTTTAAAATGAAAAATATTTTGAATTATTTATGTTCTTTTAGGACTTAAAAATTAAGAATAATATTTTCAAACCAATTTATACTTCTATTGAACACAGAATTCCACCTAAACATATAAAAATAATTTAATACTAAGTCTACAAGGTCTGAAATACTTGGGAAGTACATCGTGAAAAAAACAAACAATAATGCATACTTTGAACTTTAAAAATCTATTAGTAACGAGCTAATTTACTCAAGAATTTAAACATAGTTGCGAAATAAAATACCCAAATATTAAAACCATTCCACATGCTAAGTAGAAACTTAAAATTTAAAACTTTTTTACCTGGAAATCTAAACTAAGTAGGCTTTGCTTGGTGTCATTTAAGTCTCCAGCTGAAAATGAAACAAAATCAGAGCTTTCTTTAAAAACAAAGAAAGGACAGAAGGGAATGTTGAAAAGTGTTTGCTGAACTTCTTAGTAAAATCTAAAATAACTGCTTCCCTTGGGGATAAATGCCTTTCAGTTTTTGTGCAGAAAATCAGCCAAGAAAGTAACCAGGGAAAATGGTTACCAAGGGAAATATTTTTTTTAATCATAAGAAAAGTAGAAAACAGCAGTGGGTGTGGGAAGAGAGCATTTTGTTTGTAGGCTGAAAAGGCAGAGTTGGAAGCATAAAAATAAGCTTGATTAAGAAATCTGTGGTTTTCATAGACTATTTGCATTAAAAAGTTGAAGGCTTATACTAGCCAGCATGATGTCACTTGAGCTTTATCAGATTATAGGGATGATATTCTCGTCAGCTAAAGGTTGTATATATCTGGAATCTATTTTAATGTGGATTAATAATATTTAACTCATCTGCCCGCCCACCTCGATCTCACCCACAATATTAACAAAACAACAACATGGTTACGTATTAATGTCAGTGGAAATTATGTAACTTCTAACCATTAAATAATAGAAAGAAAATGTGAAAGGGAGCTGTGTGGCTCCTAATTACCTGTTACTCTGGCAAATTAGTTGTGTACTTTGGCCTCAGTTTCTTTATCTGCAAATGAGAAGTTAGAGACAGATCAGGATTCCAAGTGCAACCTTACTGTTTATGAGGAACCTTGAGTAAGTTACTTAATGTTTCTGACCAAAGTTTACTCTTCTGTAAAACTAGGGTGATACCTTTCAAATTTTTCTGAAAATAAAAGGAATAACATATATGAAGGGCCTAACTCAGTGCCTGTCCTAGACTAGGTAATTTTGGAACTATTTTTTAAATTTTTTTTTTTTTTTTTTTGAGACAGAGTTTTTGCTCTGTTGCCCAGGTTGGAGTGCAATAGCGCGGTCTCGGCTCACTGCAACCTCCGCCTCCCAGGTTCAAGGGATTCTCCTGCCTCAGCCTCCCGAGTAGCTGGGATTAAAGGCACCCGCCACCATTCCAGATTAATTTTTGTATTTTTTTTAGTAGAGATGGGGTTTTACCATGTTGGCCAGGCTGGTCTCGAACTCTTGACCTCATGTGATCCACCCACCTCGACCTCCCAAAGTGCAGGGATTATAGGCATGAGCCACCGCACCCGGCCTTAAATTCTTATATCCGTATTTCAGGGGTCTAAATCATTTGGCAAAGAGGAGCTAAATATTTGTTTAAATGATGTGGTTAGACTGAATCAGGATTTTGTAAAATGACCTAGATAGACTGAATCAAGATAAGGGATTAAATACATAAGCCACTCAACTTCCTAAAAATAAGGAAAATGATACTTATTTTTAAAAATGTAAAACTGACTGAGCGTAGTGGCTCACACCTGTAATCCCAGAACTTTGGGAGGCTGAGACGTGTGGCTTACCTGAGGTTAGGAGTTTGAGACCAGCCTGGCCAACATGTGAAACTCGGTCTCTACCAGCAGTACAAAAATTAGCCGAGCATGGTGGCACACACCTGTAGTCCCAGCTTCTCAGGAGGCTGAGGTAGGAGCATCACTTGAACCCAGGAGGCGGAGGTTGCAGTGAGCCAAGATTGCGCCATTGCGCTCCAGCCTGGGCGATAGAGCGAGACTACATCTCAAAAAAAAGAAAAGAAAAAGAATGAGTCCACAAATGAGCAAATACCATTAAACAGGCAGTTCATAGAAGAGGAAATGTCAGTGGTCAATAAAACAGAAGAAGAAAATTTCTCAACTTCAGTAACAGTCAAGAAAAGTAAATTAAAAGAGGAAGGTTATTTTTTCACTATCACAGTGAGATGTTGCTGACAAAACTTCGGGGGTAGAAAAATTACCCAAATAATGTCAATGCTCAATCAAGCTTGAAGACCACTGCTAATCAAAAATCATGGCCTGATTTGAAATACATACATTGTTTTTTGGGGGAAAAAAAAGTTGATGATATGCTGTGTTGGCCACTGTGTAGGGAAAACAGAAACTCTCCTCTTCCTTGAGGACAACTGAACAGTAGCTATACTGTCTGTCCTAGCATTTCACCTCTAGGAACCCATTGTAGAAACACCTCTTTCTGTACAAAAGTGTGCCTTCAAGGAAGTCCTCTGAAGTACTGTAAGCATGGATTAAAAAAAAAAGTTAGCCCAGTTGTGTATTGCTAGAGAACAATGTGGGCTTACCATAAAGCTATTTGGAGAAACAGAAGTAATTCCATTAATACCACCATGCATAGTTGTCCACGCTATACCAGGAATAAAGAGATTTTCAAAACTGTACATGTATTGTGATCTTACCTTCTTTTGAGGTGTGTAATTTAGCATTTTACTAGAGAACAAATTGGAAGGAATAAACAACAAAATATTAACAGTAATTATAGGGAGACTTTTACTATGTACTTCTATATTTGTATCCTGTTGTGAGCTTTGTATAATCAGATCAGAAAAGAATAACTTTTAAAAAGAATACAATCAAAAAAGAAGTAACTCTTAAAGTAACAGCACTGAGGAATACCAGTAATTACCATGATGAGATTGACAAAGTTGCAGAAAACTAAATTTTATAATTTCTGAGGTTCCTGCTCTAAAATTTTGTGGTTTAATGGACTGTTACATGAGTCCTTTTGCAGAAACTATTTTAACCACACTAGTACATGGAAAATGCTGGTATTATGGTTTCTCCTACCCCCTTTATTATTACAGGCATGATTATGTCCCAAAACTTGGTTCTGACAACACTCTACAGGAATGTGGTGTTGGTCACCAAACAACTGAGCATTACCCGTGCGACAGGGCCATCTGCCTATGAAGATTTAGACTCTAGGACATTTATTTCAGGTGATACTTGTTTTAAGTAAAGTCACCTTTTCAGTGTTTTCCCTGATGGTCTAGATTACCAATAAGGATGCAACTGTCTACCATATGACAACTTTGTAGATATTAATACCCAAATAAAGGTAACTTCTGGAAATTTTAAGTAGGGCCATACTCAGAAATTAGTTTTACCTTGTTCAGCCCGAATAAGGAGGCTTAAAGCTGTGCCTACAACCCCTGCCCATGCACCGAATAATAGGTACAATGTTCTGGTATCTTTATGGTTAGTTGAGAAGAGTCAATGGTTGGCGAACATAAGTGGAGTAGGGGGAGGTAAAATGGCTGAGTAAAGCATTAGACTGTAAATCTAAGGACAGAGGCTAAACCTCTTTTTACCAGCCCAGAGGTGACTTTCATGTTGAATTGCAAATTCAAAGAAGCAGCTTAAATCCTGCCAGGCTTCTCCTGCCTTCCCCACCTCCCCCCACCACCCCCACACAGCGGGAGAAGTAGATTGAAGCCAGTTGATTAGGATATTTAGCTGTTAACTAAATTTTTATGGGTTTGAGTCCCATTTATCTAGTAAGGGCTTAGCTTAATTAAAGTGATTGATTTGTGTTCAGTTGATGCAGAGTAGAGTTTTGCAGTCCTTGGGTTTGTAGAAATTAACTATAGCCTACTTACTAAGGGCTTTGAAGGCTCTTGGTCTTGTTGAACCTAAATTTCTAGAAGATAAGCAGGGTTAGTGGGGAGATTGGTAGGAGGAAGATGCAGAGGATGGTAAGTGCGGGGAGGAGTAGTATGGACTTCATTCTAGGACTGACCTTCTCTTTCTTGGCCCATAGTTCAAATGCCTTTTAAACTATACTCAAGTGTGACAGTTGCTTCATTTACTGTAGCTGAACTTACTTTCCCAGTGGAATATTACATTTCAGTGGAGTAATGATATATAAGTATCCCACAACTCATTCAACCATGCCCTTATTGATGGACATTTGGGTTGTTTCCCCTTTCCCCCTCAAATAGAGTGGGCTTTTTCCATCTGGGTGCACATTTCCAGGTTGCTTTCCAAAAAGGTTGTAGTAGATAATGTATACTCTCACCAGAAATAGATAAAATGCCCATTTCCCTGCCACTTTATTTTTTAAATAGTTTTCACATTTTTGAATGGTTAATACATATAAGTGGCATAAATTTTTACAGTGCACGGTTAAAATTTCAGTTTTCTATATTCAATACTGATAGACTGATACCAACCTTCCCACTGAAGTAATTAAGAAATGAGATCAGCCAGGCGCGGTGCCTCACACCTATAATCCCTGCACTCTGGGAGGCCAAGGCTGGCGGATCATAAGGTCAGGAGATTGAGACCATCCTGGCTAACATGGTGAAACCCTGTCTCTACTACAAATACAAAAAATTAGCTGGGCAAGGTGGCATGCGCCAGTAGTCCCAGCTACTCGGGAGGCTGAGGCAGGAGAATCCCTTGAATCCGTGGGGCAAAGGTTGCAGTGAGCCAAGATCATGCCACTGCACTTCAGCCTGGGCGACAGAGCAGCTCTGTCTCAAAAAAAAAAAGAAATGAGATCACATCTTAAAATCATCAATGAAGGCTGGGGACAGTGGCTCATGCCTGTAATCCCAACACTCTAGGAGGCCGAGGTGGGTGGATCACAAGGTCAGGAGTTCAAGACCAGCCTGGCCAACATAGTGAAACGCTGTCGCTACTAAAAATACAAAAATTAGCCGGGTATGGTGGCACGCGCCTATAGTCCCAGCTACTTGGGGGACTGAGGCACGAGAATCGCTTGAACCTGGGAGGCAGAGGTTGTGGGGAGCTGAGATCGTGCCACTGCACTCTAGTCTGGGCAACAGAGCAAGACTCAGTCTCAAAAAAAAAAAAACCATCAGTGAAGTGAAACTGTAATGAGGAATCACTGGGCCTAGATCAGGAGATAACTGTGAGCAGCCTTTTGCCTTGTGAGTGTTTGCTAAAAATATCAATAAAGTAAAAAACAAATATGAGGGAGAAAAGATTGAGAAAGCCAAAAGTTGGGGATTTTTTGTTTTTAAAAAAATTTATCGGCTGGGGGCGGTGGCTCATGCCTGTAATCCCAGCACTTTGGGAGGCCGTGGTGGGCAGATCACAAGGTCAGGAGTCTGAGACCAGCCTCGCCAACATGGTGAAACCCCATCTCTACTAAAAATACAAAATTAGCCTGGTGTGGTGGC